GCGAAGATTTCCACGAAAGGTCGTGCTCCGTTGACACACTTTTAGCCCAGTGGCGGAGGTGCAGTGGGTCCCTTTTCGACGACGGAAAACGTAGCCTAAGTGGCAAGTTTGACGTGTTTTGCTTTTACTAGTTCGATAAAAGCCAAACTGGGATTGGCAGTGGTGGATCTGCGCTCGTCTTCGCAGACTTAGTAGGCCTGATGAGCGCAGGGCAGTTTCGATCCTTAGATTACGCAGCTCATGCGTGACCTGTCTGAAGACGTTTCACGACCGCTGGATTGTCGCTGGCTTCTCTGACGGAGCAGTCTGGTAAGCGTCACACGAACTGTGCTGCGCTTCCTTAGCGAGATTATAGGATGCACTGAGAACTCATAACTTCTCCGATAAATGCAAGAGGGCCTGCACCGTGCATCGACTGCACCCGATTGGTGTTTTCCTCAGCTTCTACGACCCACAGCTCCGTCTGATTCGCTGCTTCGAAGACCTAGATGCTGTGAGGAAAGTCGAATCTTGCCTAGGCTTGCGAATGGCGCAAAACGATTCCTTCTGCCTACATCAAATTCAGGCTTTCTTCGACTCTAACCAAAGGTGTTTCCTTGGTGTTCCTGGTGCCGCTGATTCCTCAGGGTCAAATAAAATGCGTATCCTTTGTGGAAAATTTAGCACCTGACAACAGTACGTTAAGCAGCGTTCAACTACGAAGGGGTTGATTTACAGCCATCAGCCGGGTTGCAAGTAGTTACTGCATAGATCGGTTGAGCTCAGTGCTTTCTAGTGATTTCTTTTTTGTGAAAGTGGCCCAAGCTCTTCCACACTTAGAAGGCTCAGCCTCCGCCTCGAAAAAGGGGTCAGCAAACGCCAGACGCCAATGGATGACGGACCTTAAAAGACTGCCAGCGTTCGTTGTCTCAACATCTAAGGCGCGGATTATAGAAGTGTCTCCAGATACGAGCTCAACTGCCGCTGAGGAAAGTTNGTCTCAACATCTAAGGCGCGGATTATAGAAGTGTCTCCAGATACGAGCTCAACTGCCGCTGAGGAAAGTTTGAAGGAAGCGTGCGTCCTAACGAACGTTGCAAGGATGGCTCTGTTTCAATTCGACAGCCCTCACGGAGTACTGTTTACAGTGCATGCAGCATGTGCAACTGTCAACTTTGCAGCAGGATCGTGAATGTATTTGAGGGGCTTGATTCGGTACCAACGGCCCTGGTATTTCACCCTCTCAGACCGATCCTTGCTGTTGCTGGAGTCACAGGTGAACTACGTACCCGTCTGGAAAGTTTGTATAGATTCCAGTGTGCCGTCTTTCTTGTTCGCCCCCTTCGTCCTTCGTAACCACACCCGCAACCGCCTGCGATGCACCTAAGTCTTCGGACACTTCAGGAACTGAATGTGCTTGACATACGTGTCTTAGGCTTTATGAGGTTCTGGGATACGGACAGTCACGCGCTGTTGGGCAATGTTTGGTTCGATAAACTATCGCCTACTGTGAGAAACAGTCCACTGCCACTGCCGCCAAAGGGCTACTTGCCAGTAGCACTTCGGCGGCAAAGGCTCCGCACTTTCATTCCTTGCCGGTTATGACATGTTATGCTTCCCTCCTAGGATTCAAGGGCTACTCTCTCTGTTTCCCCGCACAAACTCCCTGCTCTTCTAAATTTGCATGGCTCTGCAGGCCGCAGCATTCAGCCCATCCGGNTTCCCCGCACAAACTCCCTGCTCTTCTAAATTTGCATGGCTCTGCAGGCCGCAGCATTCAGCCCATCCGGAATGTTTTTGGCCATTGGCTTCAGCAATGGAACAGTGAAGATATGCGAGTTCAAATTTCCCGAGAATTTGAGTACAGCAGCAACGCCTGGTGGCGATTTATCCTGCTGGATGCCTGAGTTAATCAGCACGAGGGAAAGCCGCGACGCAGTTACCCATGTTAGATATCACTTGCCTCATACTTTTAACGTTAAAGTGGACCTCAGCATTGCAAGCGGCTCTCCCACCGCTAGGAGAGTTTGCGTCTTTTTGCGTTGTTCCGATACAGTGCACATTTTGTCGGAATTCCGCCCACCTTGCCGTCGCCCATGCGGATCACCTCGTTTGCCTTTTCCGGTGAACCAAGGAAACTCTCTAGGTTGCGTATCCTAGGCACACGATTTTAGACACTGTGCGGGATAGCGTTTCTTTATAATTGCTATCTTTACGGGGGTATGGGTTGTTGTTTTTCCAGTTTCGACTCTCGTTTGGGCAATCCGCAACTTCCTCAGGAATGGACGTTCGCAGGTGAGCGCACGCATAATCCAAATCGTCTCCTCTAAACGGAGCCTCTGAGGGAGCTTCCGCTGAGGACCCACCCTCAGGGTGGCCCTGTTTGAGCATCGTTCAGCCACACCGCTTATTTTGTCTACCACACTGTTACTCGGCAGGAACAGCTTTGCCTGGAAGCTCTTGCGATGCACGCGGGAAGCCAGTGTATTCATTGACGAGCAAATACGTGCATATTACTCAAGTGTCTTATTGAGTGCACTTTCTGCAGGAAAGCATCGTTCGCACTACCGAAAAATTTGTGGCCTTTCTTTCGCTCATTCTCACTGTCAGCCTCCCCTACAGAGCCTGCCGACAATTTCCGGTGGGCCAACACCGGCTCCCGTCGTTGGCCCGGCCCAGTCTTTTACGTCGCGGCCAGCTCAACAGCCCCTTCCCACAGCATCTCCTCATCTTTACAGCAACGGATACCCCCGCCTCTTCAGCGTAGGTGAAGACAGAACTCTCGTGGAGTATGATGTTGCCAATTCATTTGAGCACACGGGTAAATCGTCTGCTAATAATTACCTTGCGTCTTCGCCAGAGGGGCTGTCAAGGTAACCCCGATTTCACGTAGTATAAAAGGGGTGGCAGTTGACNTTGCGTCTTCGCCAGAGGGGCTGTCAAGGTAACCCCGATTTCACGTAGTATAAAAGGGGTGGCAGTTGACATTTATCGTATTGCAGTACGTGGTTCCTCCATTTCCCTACCGTGAAATACCTTCTACATGCCTAAATGGAAGGCCAGGAGTTTGCTGTGCGCCACTAGGTCTTCTGAAGCGGGCATCTCGCATAGTTGAACAGCGCGCCTTACCTGCTGGCTGTTTGGCGCTGTCTTCTCCCGTGAGCTTCGAGAGACCAAAATAGTATTCGTTAGCTGCGCACAGTCCGGCAAGAAACAGTAGCCAGCAGCCCTTCTCACACATTAGCGTCGCGCCAGAAGTGCTCCTGGCATTCATCGGCAGCTCGACGTCTGGCAGCGTGGGTGAAGAGTGGGACATTTTTAGGTCGGTGAGCCGGACACTGAGGTCCTCATTTATTCAACGGAAGCGAAAGCAACAGTCTGGAGTGCGAACTCGATGACTTGCGTAAAGGTGCGCATCCGCTGTTAAAGGCAGCGAACACTATCGATCGAGAGTGTGTACGGTGTCTGGCCCATAAAGTTCGCATTTACTTTGATGAATGACACCCCAAAGTGGAACTTCGGGTGCGTTTATTTTCTGATAGACTGCCTCCGTTGCAATGGGGAATGACGGCGTACTGCAGTTGGCTCTGGTACAAGATTGGACCAACGTTGTAGATGAGGGAAAGAAATCCAGGTGTGCTATCCTGCTGCACTTCCACTTCGCAAACAACACATATCATAAAACATGGCTCTGTTTCATCGTATAAAATGCTTAGCTGGCAGGCAATGCTATTCCAAAGCAGACGTAGCATGATAGGAAACTGCTTTGGTTTGTTTCAGTCCGGTGCTTCTGGGTGCTTGTAAGGAGCAACTCCTAGGCGTGTATCAGCTTCCACTTGAAGGGTTAGTTTGGCATTATTTCCTTCACACGACCCTTCTGTGCGTAGAAGTCGACAAACGTCTGTTTGCTGTTTCTCTTAAAGGCAAATGGATATCGCGCTGTGCTTGAGGTGCGAGACACAGCAAGCAGGTCCCTAGAGCTTTCTCGTGCCCGCAGCAATCCATTCAAAAGTGTAAGCGTCGTTGCGCATGCTGGACAAATTGTTGCGTTGGCCGCATCCCCTCCCCAAAATGGATATACTACGGCATTTTCTTGCGGGGGTAGCGACTTCACGGTTCTCCAGTGGAGGATAAATCACAGGGCGGTGCAGAGGGCGTTCCAGGAAGGTGCGGACGGCTGAATCCCAGCAGTCAAGTTTCTGTGAATCCAGGCATTCGCGGTTCTCGATTTTGCCCGCCATTGTTCTCAGCTTATTTCCTGTCTCTACAGGCCCGCCTGGAGTGGAGTCGGTTCTGGTCCGCATTCCCGGAGGAAGTCTTGTACGCCATTCACCTGCTGAGTTCTTTCAGCAGCATGGAAATCGTGTACCAATACCTACTCTTAAGTTCTGCGATCAAGTGGGAAGTGAAAGCTGCTGCGCCTATGCAACACGTTACAGCCAACTCATTTTGATGTCTCTGTCAGGGTAAAT